CAGCTCCCAATAATCCCCTCACAGCTCTCTGTGGAAACAGAATGGGGTGAGACTGGTGCTGACTTAGAAATAGTCTTTCTTATATAAATTCATGAGTGAATACTTAAGAAATGCACCTACTGTTTAAAACAAACTGCAAATCCACTATATTTTACTGATTTCAGGAGACAAGATCTCGATCTTGTATCTGACCAGGTCAGTGCGTCCTCCCCAGAAGGAACCAACTTCCCATGCTTCATCCTTTCCCCACCAAAAACCCTTCCCTTCTACTTCAGAGAGGTGAAATGGGGTACCTGGAAGGAAATGCCTGCTGAACTTTGTGCATTTGTTTCTGTAGAGTGGAGGCCACTTGACAGTGGTCGAGCAGTCACACAGGAGACAAGGGCCTCTCTTCCATTTCCTCAATAGCCCTCCCCTACAAGCTTCCTTATTCTTTTAGCCAGAAACTGTCACAATTCATTAACAAATCCCAGCCTCCACTGTTGTAGGAAGCTCTTGAAGCATTCAAGGCTATAATCAGTCTACTGCTTCTACACATTACACATGACACCTCTCTTTCCCCTATGAAAATAGGTATGAAAAAGGGAAACACACTTTCTGAGAAACACACTGGGCCAAATCTAGTCCTTAGGTATGGGTCTGAAAATCACAGCTGTTCCAGTTTATCCCAGGTCCTTTCACAGTTCACAATACAAGATCTGCCAAACCGGTCCTTCTTGTTTCTAACTAAATAATTTCTACTTATTGAGCTGTGCCAGACTGGATCTGCTAACCCCCTGGTTAGACTTTCTATCACTGTAGTATTCAGCTTTAGTTCCTTTCAGAATGCTAGTGTCATCACTGTCCCCATTACTACTTGTTTCTTCTTCATATATATTGTCTTTTTGAGACAGGGTCTCCCTGTAGCCCCAGCTGTCCTGGAACTCACTATGTAGACCAGGCTGGCCTTGAATTCACAGAGATCTGCCTGCCTCTGCCTCCCAAGTGCTGGGATTAAAGGCGTGTGCCACAAGTGACCCACAAGCAGGTACTGAAAACACCCAGATGTGCAAGTATGCAGGTAGGGAGGCTTTTCCCCCCTTCCAGTACGAACATGTGAGTAAAGTGATACACTCAGTTACAAATCCTCTGGAAGTGATCTTTTCAATGCGGTGGGTCTGGGTTTGAAGTTGGGGCTGAGGAAGAAGAGAACAGTCTGTCTTTTTCTACCTGTCGACAGCAGTGGTACGTAACAGCTACATATCCCTTCTGGTCTGATTTTGGGTGGGTTGTAAAGAGATGGTATGTATGGAATTCCTGGATGTAAGGAAGCTACCCCTCCTGCCACGGTGAGGAAATATACATTCCACTGTGAAACAGAGGTACAGGACAATGCGGTTTGGTGGCTTGTAGGCAAAGCTATAACCACAGACTCTACTTTTCAAAGCAAGTCTATAGCATGTTAAACTCACAGAAGTAGGGCTGTTTTGCTTGGAAGTGCAGGGAAAGGAAGAACAATACCCCACCCCAGCTCCTAGACATCTCTTCCTTTATTGGAAATTACCTCACCTAGAATGACTGCCGGAGGCAATGAGGGTGCCTTATCTGTATCAGTAAAGAAGGTTGTCAAATGAGGCAGGTGAGGAGAGACATAGTGTTCTAGAACTTTCATTAATGTCAATCCTGATAAAAAATGTCTAGTATGAAGCATATTATGAAAGTGGAAATCTAGCAGAACTGTGACAGCATTGTAAGCCATATGGCAGTGAAACAGAAGCTGTAGTTCCAACTATCTTGCTGAGGTAGAAAAACTGCGGGGTTATCAACAGAGACTACCAGGTACCGCTGTTATGTCCACACAACCTCTACTCATCTCCACCATTACTCCCCTTACACAATCTATAGTCTTACTAGACTTTTATAAAAAAAAATACATGCCCAGTCCAGACAGTGAGCATAAAGCAGAATGATAGATTTGAAAAGCAAATTATCTTTTCTACCATTTAAGATTATGAATTGCCATTGACCCTGTCATGAATAAGTCATTACAAAGCATTTCCAAATGTTACAGGCACTTGTTGAGGGCTGAGCAGAAGCTATGAAGTTCACACACCTTATCAAGGTGTGCAGATTATTTGTTTCAGTTTTTAAAAGTCTCCCAGTTTTATAGGGGAGAGAGAGAAAGAGAGAACTTCAAGTAGTTTTATATTAGTGAGACTTGGAGAATCATTTAAATTTTCATTTCAATGGTTAAAATTGTAAAGCCTCCAATTAACCATTGATCAATAAAGTTAAAGTGCAGCCTAGCAAACTGACTGGTACAGAGTAGGCATCCAGTATTTCATTCCAGAAAATGGCTGAATTCATAAATACACTGGTAAGGACAGACAGACACTGACTGTCCTTTCAAGCATTTGAAATGTTGTTTTAATTCTGTGATGTAAATCACATGACATTTCCTTATTGGCAATGTTTTGGTTTTTTGGTTTCAATCCCAGGATCTCTAATTCAAACAAAGGAAAGGAAATCGCATCCATCTTGAAAGAGAAAAGGAAACAACTGGCCAAAAATAATGAAGATCAAAAACAAAGTTTTAGTCTTTGCACTGAAACACAATGGATTAGGAGAACAACGGCTTCTTCCAAATATCTTTATTAAGACATTTATTAAGACAGTTGACATAGATGTATGCATTGAGGCCACACAATGGAGAAAATTAAAGACATTTTCCAGAATATACAGCTAACATCAATAGGTAAACCCAGGCCAAGAAGAACAGCCCTTTCTCAAAGCATATTAGTGCCTTGAGGACTCAATATTGAGCCAATATGCACTCAAAAAGAACTATTCATTCTTTAAATGAACTTAAAAAAAGTAGCCTGAGCAAAGGAACACAAAGTACTCTAGTTATTTCCATACAGTAAATTGTTAGATAAGATCTACACTGGCCAAACTGTTTAACAAACTTCTGTCCTGTTTGAAAAGAAAATCAATCATCACTCCAAGATAGGTCTATGCAAAATAATGGAGATATGCACAACACATTTTCCATCATTCTAGGAGCGTGGTATCCTTTCACCAAAAGCAAATCTGAGGTTCTCTGAGCATGCCCCACCAATTAAAAAAATCAATAGCATTACTCGTGGGGTATACAAGTCTCTTTTTTTTTTTTGGTGCACAAGGCTTTTATCTCATTTTAGCAGCATAAGAAATGATGCGGGATGCTTGTAACCTTGGTGCTCACCATTAACTTAGCCACCTTCATACTCTGCTCACAGAGTAAAAGCATTGCGGTTCCTTCTGACAAGAAGTGGTTCTGCCAAATTGCAAAGCTGCTGGAACATATGAATAGGCTGACTGTACTCCAAAGCAGGTAAATTTGTACCTTAAAACTAAAGAGGGAGTGACTTCAAGAGACAGAACAGTAGTCATATTTTAAAATGATAAAAATTGAGGTAGCAATATTTTCAAAAGTAATAAATCTGAAAAACACTAAAGTAATCAAAATTGAATGTGATGTATGCTTTCAAAAATCCACCCTGTTATCTGTATCATTCCCATAGAAAAAGCATATAAAAGATGTCTTAGAATAACTGACATGCACATATGAGACATACCAAACTATGAATTTAATTTTCATAATAACTATCTCATTTTCCTAAATGCTCAGGTTAGGTGGTAGCAATAGTCATGGAAGACAAAATACTGACAACTTAGAAAGGCACATATTAAACCATCTTAGGTCCTGGGATGGTAGTTTCTAGAAGAAATGTGCAAAGAATGACAAAGCATTTTTTTAAATCAACAAATGCATTGCCTTGATTTTGACTATGCAGAACTAAGCATGAATTTTTAAAGCAAAGCATCAGTTAGTAAAACTGAATACCAATAGTTCTTGTGGGTCAAGTGACTTTTAAGAATTCAGAACTTGACTTAGAGATTGAAACATACACACATTTTTTATCCTTAGGAATAGAATCATTTTCCCACATTTATAAAATAAGTACAGTAAACATTACTTGAGACAAATCTGGCTATCAGATTTGCCTTCCGTGGTCTGTTTTCTTGTCTTTCTGGGAAACAAATCAATCTTTCTTACAGACACAGGCAAAAGTGGAATAAAGCCATGTTTTTCCCTTTTTCGGGGGGGGTGTGACTTACAACGTATAATCTACAAGGGGAAACCACATGTCAACACTCTAGAGGACAATAACTTGCAAGATATTACCAGATTCTTTAAATTACTATTTTTCCACTTTTTTCATTGTTTCAAAATATATGCTTGGTCCTAAGGAGAAAAAGGAAGACGTGGTTAGTAAATGAAATTTGAAAATCCTCAAAGGTGTGTGTGCGTGTGTGTGTGTGTGTGCGTGTGTGTGTGCGTGTGTGTCTAATACATGAAAGTACCTCATTTTCTGATGTGCTACTTAAAGTTCCCACACCTTTACTTAGGACAACTATAAGCCAAGATGCCTGGAGAAAGAGCTCCCTTGTTTTCCCAGTTGGATTTCCCCATCTCCCTAATGGAGTCTTTCCAATGCTTTTTCTCCAATATCCCAAGAAGCATGCACATACAGGCAAACACACATGATTTATCTACACTGTACACACAGATTCACTGACACCATGACAAAGAGATAAGTAACAACAAGGTCATCACAACAAATCACTATGGCAGTGAGAGACTTAGGTTCCCTTTAAAGCTCTCTTGAACCCCTGCCGCCTAATGCCCTATTACAACACAGTTCCACTTCAACCAGGAACTTTAAAGGATCAGAAAGACGACACGGGTTGCATCAAAGAGAAGAGAAAGAACATAGAACGTGCGCTTTGGAGGCGGGGGTTTTTACTGGGAAAAGAGTACCCAGCTGTGCAAAGGTGCCCCATTATTAGAGAATGTCAGCCAAGACTCTAGACACCCAAATTAAGTACCTAGGCAAGGAGAAAAGTAAATAAATACTAGTGATCACTGTCGTTAGAATAAGAATAGTAATAACAATCGTCACCAGAGCCTTCCTTACAGCAGCCACGTGGAGCCGCTTCTCCAGTTCCACGGCCCGAAGCCTCCCTGGCATCCTACAGCGCCGGAGTAGGGCTAGTGGGCGCCGGCCTGGGGCGGGGCCTTGGGCAGCGAAAGGGCGGGGTCCGGGGAGCATGTGGGCGGAGTCGGTGGGCAGGGCACTGGTGGCCCCGCCGCGCGCTGGGCTCTGCGGCGCCTGCGCGTCCCTGGCTGGCAGGTTTACCTGCCTAGCGCTGCTGGTTGCTAGGGTCTCTCTGCTCCATGAGGTGTAGCAGTCGGGATGCTGGAACAGCATCCTACAGAAACACCGAGACCTAACTAGAGACCTCTCTAGACCATTACTGGTTTCCAAGACTCGGGAAAAGGAGGTGGAAGACGGAGAGCTGCGGGTTTGGTGGGAGGCTGGGTAGTGTAGGAGCCCACCTCTCCAGGATCTTCTCAGACTAGGAAGCAAACTTGCCTGCAGCAGCTGCCACCAAGCAAGCCTTGACGGCTGGCCTGCAAGTTACCCTTTGCGGATAAGGGGCTCGTTTGCCGGGCGGTTGGCGGAACAGGGCGGTGCCAGGCACTCTGGAAGTCCTGCCAGCGAGAGGTGAAAGGCGCAGTTTGGGGCGTGCACATTCTCTGACTTGTAAAAGTACTAACTGGGATTCCCTCAAATCCTGCCAAACCATATTGTATTTAAAGCCTATCTTATTTTTGAATTGCATAGTTATGAGACAACTATACTGGCTGAAACCGAAAACAAGTCATTATTATAGAAGAAAACAATTTGTGAGTGGTTAGCGATGTGGGGCTTCGGAGGCTTGTGTAATAGAGGGATCTTCCGCATCTTTTTGACCCAAAATGTCCCTATTATTTGGGAGGTAGTGAAGGAAATGTCACGTCTACATTTCGGGGCGTGGGTGGTGTCACCATTTACTGACTGAACTAGCATCCGCAGATTGGATTGGTACTCACACGGAAATGTTAGAACGATCCTAGTTAATAATAGTATATGTATTTCTAAAATCGATATTAATTATGAATCTAACCAAAAATGTTTTTGAGGCGGGGCCTCGTTGTAGCCCACATTGGCCTGGAACTGGTGATCCTCCGGTCCCAGCCCCTCATGGGTTGGGATAACAAATGTACAACCACTCCCTACTTATAAACAGTAAAATTGTAAATAAGTTTTTTTTTTTTCTTCCTGGAACTCACTATGTAGACCAGGCTGGCCTTGAACTCACAGAGATCCGCCTGCCTCTGCCTCCTGAGTGCTGGGATTAAAGGCGTGAGCCACCATACTCAGTGGAAAGTCTTTGCCTAGCGTGATCAAGGCCATAAGTTCACTCCTCAGTGCTGAAAAAACAAAACAAAACAAAAAAGCAACAAAAAAACAGTTGACCTGACAATATTAGGCTACTTTAAAAAATATATATATTATTTTTATTTCATGTATGTGAATGTATTGTCTGCATGTATGTGAGTGTGCCGTGTCGCGCAATGCCACGGAGGTCAGAAGAGGGCTTCAGATTCCCCTGGAACTGGAGTTAAGGACATTTCATAGCTGCCATATGGGTGCTGGGAATCGAACCGAGTCCTCTACAAGAACAGTCAGTACTCTTAACCCGTGAGCCTTCTCCCAGCCCCCTAGACTACAGTCTTTGAGAAGCCCACACCCATGCTCTGGGGTGTGTCTTTTTTTCTCACTGCTCTTCTTTCTCTCTTAACCTTCATGCTTAAGCCTATATTTAAAATACCTTTTATAAAATCCTAATTGAATCCAAAAAGATTTAAGTAATTGTTTTCTTATATCGAAATTCTGCTTGTACTCAGTCTAATGTTAGCAAAGAATCATTTTCATTAGGGTGTATTCTAAATTCTAACTAATTACTTTTCAGCAACAATTCAAATATTCTCAAAAAGAGTCAGTTCTTAGTTAACCAACAGTTATGAAAAAGAGTGATCATCATTCATTAAAACCACAACAGCACCGACTTCTTCTTCGACGACCCTTACCTCCAAAACTCCCTAAGCTGCCTTTATATAAGAAGAAAGTTCATACAGGTATGTGCATTAATCAGATACATGCATTAGCCTTGATGTATTTTTATAGACATTTCTTGCTATATGTATAATCCAATATCACAATAGTTAAAGACATTAATAGCCATAACCTATAGATGTTGTAAGGTGGGAACCACTGACTGATCAATTCTATAAATACACTCATTGTTTGTTCCTCATTTGTGGATTTTAATTTACTTTTGCTTAAATTTATTTGGAATCCTCAAATCAGTATTGTAGTGCTCTACCAGTTATTCATGGGTATGTGTGCATATGAAAGTACAAGTTAGGACTGGAGAGATGGCTCAGTGGTTAAGAGCACTGACTGCTCTTTCAGAGGATCCAGGTTTAGTTCCCAGCATCCACATGGCGGCTAACAAGCATCTGTAACTCTAGTTCCAGAGACTGACACCCTCTTCTGGCCCCTGAGGGCAATGCACGACACAGGTACACTTAATTACATGCAGACAATACACTCATGCACATAAAAGTAATAAATAAGAAAATAAAAAATAAAGCCCAGGCCAGGCGTGGTGCATGCCTTTAATCACAGCACTTGGGAGACAGAGGCAGGCAGATCTTTGTGAGTTTGAGGCCAGCCTGGTCTACATAGCGAGTTCCAGGACAGCTAGGGCTACAGGCAAAAAAAAAAAAAAAAAAAAAAAAAAAAAAAAAAAAAGCCCAAGTCTCCCAATGCACATGCCTCCAGTTGGATGGAACAGGATTACTTCTGCCTTCCTGTTTCCACTCCCATACTGTAAACAAGTGTCCCTTTCCTGGTCTCTTTAATTCTACATTTCTTGAGTTTTTGTGTGGTTGTTGGTTTTGGGGTTTTTTTTTTTTTTTGTCTGTAATTTTCATAACCATACTTCTGAAGTGCTGTCTAAGCAAGAGAAGGATGTAATGTGCTTTCCAGAGCAACACATGTGTAGATGAGCTTGTTGGTTGTGAGGTCAATGCTAACAAGTCAGTTATACATTATGTATTACTAAATATTTAATGTATATTTAAATAATATGTCCATAAATATAACACATAGCCATAAGATGATGAATTGAGTGCTTGGTGAAAATGCTGACAGTGGAGGCTTGGAGGAACCCAGCCCTAGGTTTTTCTAGGAGCATAGCGTTGGGTGATTGTTTGTTGTGATCTTATGGAATAGAACAACCACAAATAATGAGAATTGATTGTGCTAGGAACTGGAGATAAAAAACCAGGCCCTGCTAATCTCCTTCAGAGGCATGGAGATAATAATCATATGAATGAATGGAAACTGGCCTGCCATGAGCCACTTTTATAGTGCACCTTCATGTAGATGTCTTTTGCCTCTGCTTCTACACATTTCCCTATTAGCTGTCATTATCATAAAAAATGGTGTTACTTTGTCTTCCCCTTCTAACTATATTTATTTATTTTTTTAGTATTTTATCATTTTTATTTTATATGTACGAGTGTATTGCCTGCATGTATGTGAGTGCACCCATGTCGTGCAATGTGGCGGAGGTCAGAAGGGGGCTTCCGATTCCCCTGGAACAGGAGTTAAGGACAGTACATAGCCACCATGTGGGTGCTGGAAATCGAACCTGGGTCCTCTGCAAGAGCAGTCAGTGCTCTTAACCTCTGAGCCACCTCTCCGGCCCCTAACTATATTTATTGTATTATTTTGGTGTCAACATTTATAGTGCGAACCTGATTTATAATGTTAAATTCATTGATTGTCTTTTGATCTGTGCCTATTAAAGATGTGCAGTTCAACATAACCCTGTTCCCTCCAAATCCCTCCACTTCCTTTCATGACTTGTTTCTGCACCATCTCTCTACATTTCCATCATATTCTGTATTTCCACATTTCTAGTCTATTCTGTAATGGCAATGCCTACAGTTATGCAGATTTATAGCTCATTTTTTATTGAATAATTCTTTTTGCTTTTTTTGGCAAAAGCAGACAACTTTTGCCAGGTGTGGTGGCACACTCCTTGAATCTCAGCACCTGGGAAGCAAAGGCAGGTGGATCTCTGAGATCAAGGCCAGCCTGGTCTATATAGCAAGTTCCAGGCCAGCTGGGGCTATGGGGAGACCTGTCTTAACAAAAAACAAACAAACAACACTTGGCATCTTGGAGATTTTATGACCTTGACTGTTCTCAATCTGTTGTTCATAATACATATTTGAGATATATGCTCAACACAGTGACTCAAGTAAAATTTATAAAATGAATATTAAAACATCAAATAAAACCTTAAGTAGCCATGTACATGCTGCACATCATAGGGAATTAATGACATGAATGACTTCACCCCTGCCTTTCATGGCCTTTCAGTTAACCCCTGATAACAACCTTCTTATAAAAATGAAGATGTCAGCTATCAGGAGAAAGCAGCATTGGGTGCTCTGGGTGCTAGGAACTTAGAAGATAGGAGAAAGCACTTGGACAGGAACAGGGCTTGAATCAAGACTTGGGAAATTAAAGTGAGATGAAATATGTTTAATTAAAGAGGAGGCAGTGCAGTGTAGTTTTTGATTGCAGAGGAAGGTACTGGAAAAGTCAAAATATACTACATTAGAAAAAATAAGATCATGGTGGAATGTGCTCCCTAAACCAGGGAAACACAGAATTGAAAAGATAGTGGTCACCTAGTGGGGAGACTTTCTTAACATCTCTTCTCTGTTCACCCTATCAGAGTACCTTCACCTCTTCCCCCAGTATCTTGAAATTACACCTACCAGGCACCTATCATTTTTTTTTATCATGCTTATTTACTTGCCTGTTTGGTATATTGAATTATAAGATCTTTAAAGGAGGTGAGATTCATCTGTATTGTTGCATCTCCAGCATTATATGTACAGCTGGCATATAGCAGGTGTTAAATGTTTTTTGAATGAATATAAGAATATGAATATAAGAACAGTAAGGCTCACTTCCCTCTGCTTCCCTGGGCTGCACAGCCCACCAGCCTCTTTCCTGGACGCTGGGGATGACTGCTTGTCCTGGGGCCACCGCTGCTTCCT